AATGCCGTTTACCTTCCCGCCGGAGTGGTACCTATTTATCTACTTGCACTTTGACGTGCTTTCGAACTGCTAGGTTGGTAGGAGCAGGGACCAAGCAATGGACGCTCACCTCGTCGTGGGGATTCGAACCACCGACCTTCTGATTGGCAAGTCCTAGGCTCTGTGGTTTAACCCACAGCGCCACCCGTGTCCCAGAACCTCTACATATCATGGGCCTAATTTCAGCCCAGCCATGCCCACCTACCCTGCACTTGATGTCATAACTCAGCTGGTTATCTGAGCTCATGGAGAGGGTTTTGTAAGACTCGACAATCAGGCAATCGTTGGGTCATGCATACAGCCCTTCTCAAGACCTAATGGCCAGTTGGTTAACAGAACTTTGCCCTAATGGAGGTGGCATGGGTCTCGGGGGCTGTGAGAGGGCCTGGGGATGCTTTTCTGGCTAGGAAACAGTGGCCCTGATGGTTTGTCACCCAAGGTGGCAACTCAACAGAAGTCAAAGTACCGCTCAGCTGATCAGTGCTGAACGGGAAGTTCAGCTGCCCAGGAACAACCAGGAACTCCCTTTATTTTCATTTTGTAGCCCCACGCATTCCTGCCACACCCATGGCCCTGGTTTGTGGGCAACGACCTCATGGGCCAAACTGGGATCTGTGCTGTACCTAAACAGACTCACTGGTCAGTGGTTCCCTCCTGGTCTTCATGCCAGGGATAGGAACCTGGGACCTTCTGAAGATGCTCTGCAGCCCTCTACAAGGATGCTATGTCATGTCGGAAAGCTGCTTAGGAAGCCGCTGGACCCCATTTCCCAACCTGCCATCCTTCAGAGATCCTGAACTACAACTAGTTGTAGTCCGAAACATCTGGATAGCACCAGGCTGAGGAAGGCTGAACTAGGTTTATAATGAAGTCCATTTATGTGGTATTTGGCTGTTCTGAAGGCAGCTTGGCTCTTTCGTGGTTCTGCTCAGTTCTTCCCTGGCGGGGAAGTGGCGGGAGCTAATTTCGTTGACTTTGCGGCTCCCCCACTAAGGCTTCTGAGCTTGGAATCGGAACTTAATATCCACCTCCACCTGTGCCTTATTAATAGAAGCAACTTCCCTCATCAAATGCGGCGTGCGGAGAAGAATATGAGAAATTAGCAATAGGCCGTAACAGCCTCCGAGACCTCCCCACCGATTGCTCTGGGAGTAGCCCTGGTGATAGCAGCTCTGACGCAGTGGAAGGGACGAGAAAGACGGTGTAATGGGAAGGAAATATAGCCAGAAGGATGTATATGGCTGGATGCCTTCCATACGTCACTGTTCAGACGCAGCCTCCAAGCTGCCAACCTGTGTGTGAATGCAATGGTTAAACTACTGGGCTGGGTCTGAAACCCTGATTCGAATTCTCCCCGCCTCAGCAATCATAAAACTTACTGGGTATATGACTTTGGGTCGGCCATTCTTTCTCGCCACCTAGCCTGCCTTACGGCGTTGTTGTGAATATAAACGGTGGAAGGGAGTACTGTGGCTGCAGCTTACTGGTTTGGGCCCAGTTCTCCAATCTGATACAGTCCTCTTTAATCCTGATTCTGTCTTCTGCGGCTTTAGCGACCCCTCCCAGATTGGTGTCATCTGCAAATTTGATGAGCATCCCCTCAATTCCTTCTTTCAAGTCATTTATAAAGGCGTTGAACAACAACAGGCCCAGAACCCTGTGGCACCCCACTTGTCATTTTTTCCCCAGGATGATGAGGAACCATCAATGAGTACTCTTTGGGTTCGGTCAGTCAACCAGCTACAAATCCACCTACCAGCTGCCTCATCCAGGGCCACATTTTACCATCTTCTGCACAAGAATACCATGGGGTAGTTAGTCAAAAGCTGCTGCCCGAAGCTGTGTAAGTGTGTTAGAAAAGATGGAACATGAACTCCGTTTGTGGGAGGTTGTGTCGCTGTGTGACCAGGATTGTATACGGAGCAAAATACCGACGTTCTTTTGGTGTAACTTGAGGCTGTCTGTCTGCAGAACGAAAGGGAGGGTTTGCAGAAGACAGGGAGTTCTTTATACTGGGGGAGGATCACACGCACGTTTAAGTCTTCGCCGAAATTCCAATCTGTATAATTATTCCTTTGATTGTGCTAGATCTGGAAAAAAGAAGAAGCAGAGGCGGCAGGCTTGTGTGTGACCCGTGGCCTTGTTTCAGCTGGGTCTTAATCGTCAGGGCGAGAAGGGAAGGGAGGCAGTGAGAACTTCCCCGCCTTGAGGACGGCCGTCCTTCTCCCCCTTGCTATTTCCTTGTGCTTAGAAAAAAACAACGCCAACATCAAACAATGCTGCTCTAAGAACAAGCAGACAGTTTGAGGAAGTGCAGTCTCAAAAAACGATGATTTGAAAGAAGATCTCCCGTGTGAAAGAGGCGTGCTTCTCTTTGAAGGAGGCACGGCCTCGGCACCTCCGTTTGCCAACTTCTAACGAAGGAAAATGGGCGGCCGACGGGCAGACCTGCAACTAAAAACCATGAAATTATAGAGTTGGAAGGGACCATGAGGGTCATCTAGCCCAACCCCTTGCAGTGTAGGAATCTGCCCAGCGTGCAACTTGAACCCACAACCCTGCCGTAATACTAATACAGTGGTACCTCTGGTTGCGAACAGGATCTGTTCTGGAGGCCCACTTGCAACATGAAAAGAGCGCAATCTGCAGCGGTGCTTCTGCGCATGCGCGGGTTGCACTTCACTGCTTCTTCACGTGCACGTGATGTCATTTTGCGTGCATGCGCGAGTGGCGAAACCCGGAAATAACCCTTTCCAGTACTTCCAGGTTGCCGCGGGACGTATTCTGAAAGAACGTACGTAACATGAAGCAAACGTAACATGAGGTATGACTGTACTAATAATAAATTTGATTATTTATATGCTGCCCATCTGACTGAGTTGCGCCAGCTACTCTCTGCAGCTCCCAAAAAATACAACATCAAACATTAAGCATTGATTTCCATCTGACCATATTAATGCAGCCATCTGAGCCTTTCTGTTTGGCCTTTGGAGCCCTCCCCAGGCAACACCCCCTCTCCTCAAGCCACACACACCCCAGAGTGTTCATGCCTGGCTGAAAATGTGTCATTGAACTCTGATACCACCTCCTGCATGTCCGATTGCAGAATAGAGAGGTGTGCGAGACTATGGGCAAACAAGAGACACCTGTACACAGGTAAAATTATTTGTTGCACAATACATATCTCAAGGGCCGCCACATGGAAGAGGGAACAAGCTTGCTTTCTCCTGCTCTGCAGGATAGGACCTAAACCAATGAATTGAAGTAGAAAGAAAAGAGATTCTGACTAAATATTCGGAAAAATTTTCTGACAGTAAGAGCTGTTCAGCAGTGGAGCAGACTCCCACAAGAAGTGGTGGACTCTCCTTCCTTGGAGGTTACTAAGTAGAGGTTGGGTGGCCATCTGTCATGGATGCTTTAGCTGAGATTCCTGCATAGCAGGGGGTTGGACTGGGTGGCCCTTGGGGTCTCTTCATAAATAGGTACTGCTGCGCAGAAAGGTAAACAGCATTTCTGTGCGCTCTGGCTTCCGTCACGGTGTCCCATTGCACCAGAAGCGGTTCAGTCATGCTGACCACATGACTCAGAAAGCTGTCTGTGGACAAACACCGGCTCCCTCAGCCTGAAAGCAAGATGAGCGCCGCAACCACATAGCGGATTTCAACTGGACTTAACCATCCAGGGGTCTTTTACCTTTGACCTTTACCTTATGATTCTATGAAACCAGATACAGTGGTACCTCTGGTTGCGAATGGGATCCGTTCCGGAGGCCCGTTCGCAACCTGAAAAGAACGTAACCCGCGTCTACGCCCGCACGGGTCACAATTCGTCGCTTCTGCGCATGCGTGTGACGTCATTTTGCGCATCTGTGCATTCACGAGCAGCGAAACCCGGAAGTAACCCTTTCCGGTACAGTGGTACCTCTGGTTACGTACTTAATTCGTTCTGGAGGTTCGTTCTTAACCTGAAACTGTTCTTAACCTGAAGCACCACTTTAGCTAATGGGGCCTCCCGCTGCCGCCACGCCACCGGAGCACGATTTCTGTTCTCATCCTGAAGCAATGTTCTTAACCCGAGGTACTATTTCTGGGTTAGCGGAGTCTGTAACCTGAAACGTATGTAACCCGAGGTACCACTGTACTTCCGGGTCACCGTGGGACACAACCTGAAAACACTCAACCTGAGGCAAACGTAACATGAGGTATGACTGTACATCCCTCCAAATAGAAAACCATCTTCTGTACGGATGGTTCCCCCTCCGTCTGCCTCCAACTGAAGCCCTTCCCAAACTGCAAGTGGAATATTTAGAAAGCTTGCTTTGGGGGGTTCTTATGCATTCTGTACATCTGCACCCCTCCCTCCTTGGTGAGTCCGAAAGAGAGCCCCGCACCAGTTGCAAGCTGATGGGCAAAGCTTGACGGCGCTTCTCGCAAACCGTTGTTCGGGCCAGCGCTAAATTCACGCACACAGGGAATCAGAAACCCCAGAGGAACATCTCTTGTTTCCGGACGCCCCCTTGAGAAACCGGAATTATGGCTAGCCAATGTGGGCCTCCTTCTGACAGGACGGCCTTCCCATTTAAAGCAAGACGAGGAGGAAGTCGAAAGCCCCCCAATTGGCCAAGAAGCTTAAGCCAGCGAACGTGTTCACGTTTTTAAAAATGTCTTCCTCTGTCAGCTTGAGATTTTCCAGAATTTAGAAGCGGAAAGAAGCAGAAGACTACAAGGAAGCTATTAGAGGGAGATAAAATAAACTTTGAAAGGTGCAAGGGTGGGGGCAGGCGGCACGAAACGAGGAGCAAACTCTCTTGCCGTTTTTCAAGGGAAGTATTGATGAATGCTTATTGCTCCCAACAAAGGCTTTCTTGTCGCGAACAGGAGAAGCAGATGTTTAAAAAGCGGACAGGAAGCGGCTGTGACAAATGAAAGGACTTTTGATTGGATTCATGAGCTGTGCTTCCTGCCTGTGATTTCTTCAACTGCAGGCCACCTTTTTTAAAGAAAAGAAGCGTAATATTACAGCTTAATGACCAACCTTTTCCACATCCATATTTGGAGAGCTCGGAGTACAAAAATCAACCGGCGCTTTTACTTCCGGTAACGCAAACCAGCAAGCTTCTCTGTTTGTAAAACATGTGACTTCTTCCGGGATTCAAACAGCACTCCCGTCAAATGTTGTATTTGTGGTTATCTGGATGTTCCCTACGGATCTGAGGGTCACTTGTGTTTTCGTTTACTCAAGAGGGTCTTGGAAATGTATTATTGGGTATGGTTTCAACTCGGTGCGTTCTTGACAACCTGTTTTCTGGAAACTCCCTTTTCCCCTTCTGTGCTCCATTATGCCATTTCCCCCACCATCATTTAAAGGCAGATCTGCCTAATTGGCAGCTGCCAAAACAATACGAGAACTGAAAACAGCAGCCAGCCATTGATGTTCTCGCTTCTCTGCATTTTGCAACGCAGTTCCCCAGCCGTGTAATGCATACAAAAATCCGTAGGTGTGCATAATACATACATTCATGAAGACAGCAGATGCAAGTGTACAGTCATACTTCAGGTTACAGGCGCTTCAGGTTGCGGGTTTTTTGGGTTATGGACCGCCGAAACCCAGAAGTACTGGAACAGGTTACTTCCAGGTTTCGGCAGTCGCACATGCACAGAAGTGCTAAATCGCGCTTTGAGCATGCACAGAAGCACTGAATTGCAACCCGCAGACACGCACCTGCGGGTTGCGAACGTGCAACCCAAGCGTCCGCTGTATTATATTAGAGGAAACTGCACGCTGTGGATGGAGAAGAAATTCACACTAAAATTCCGGTTAATTTCTATGAGGGCTCTCCCGCCCCCTAGCAAACAGATGTGGAAATGGGAAGAGCTGAACTTTGAGACTGGGAAAACGAAGAAACTGAGGGAAAACCCAAACCGACAGATTCGACTGTTCCTAGACTCATGACATGATCTGCAGGCCCCACCCCAAACCTCCACATGTAGCAAGACATCTGAAGTGGGGCACCTGTGCATCTCACAGAATGTGCAGGGGTCAGGGGGTGTGACTTCAGGCCTGGGGGCACGGGGCACAGTTCTGCTCCCCACCCCCCATGCAAGCACTCCAGGAGTGGAAGAGGGTGAGGGAAAGTGCCCTTTGCTGTGTTGTGCATTTCCATGCATAAACACGCACATGATTTTGGGAAACGCCAAATCAGGATGCAGGGGATGGGGGAGGTACACCTGTCCTTTTTGCCCATTTCCTAAAACATCTGAGTCAGGGGTGGGGAACCTCAGGCCCACGACACCAAATGGGGCCCTCCATCCCTCTTTCTGTGCCATGAAAAGCCTCCCCAGGCAACAACAGCAACACCCTGCCCATCTGACTGGGTTGCCGCAGTCACTCTGGACAGCTTCCAACATATATAAAAACATTTAACAACTTCCCTATACAGGGCTGCCTTCAGATGTCTTCCAAAGGTTGTATGGTTACTTGTCTCCTTGGCTCGGGGGTCGCATAACTCCATACCCTCCCGACACTTCACTGATGAAAATAGGGACGTCCTAAGGAAAATTCATCACGCGAAAGGCTGGACTGGATGAATCCCAAGCCGGAATTAAGATTGCCGGAAGAAGTATCAACAACCTCAGATATTCAGATGACACAACTTTGATGGCAGAAAGTGAGGAGGAATTAAAGAACCTCTTAATGAGGGTGAAAGAGGAAAGCGCAAAATATAGTCTGAAGCTCAACATCAAAAAAACTAAGATCATGGCCACTGGTCCCATCACCTCGTGGCAAATAGAAGGGGAAGAAATGGAGGCAGTGAGAGATTTTACTTTCTTGAGCTCCATGATCACTGCAGATGGTGAGAGCAGTCACGAAATTAAAAGATGCCTGCTTCTTGGGAGAAAAGTGATGACAAACCTAAACAGCCTCTTAAGAAGCAGGGACATCACATTGCCAACAAAGGTCTGAATAGTTAAAGCTATGGTTTTCCCAGTAGTGATGTATAGAAGTGAGAGCTGGACCATAAAGAAGGCTGATCGCCGAAGAATTGATGCTTTTGAATTATGGTGCTGGAGGAGACTCTTGAGAGTCCCGTGGACTGCAAGAAGATCCAACCTATCCATTCTTAAGGAAATCAGCCCTGAGTTCTCACTGGGAGGACAGATCGTGAAGCTGAGGCTCCAATACTTTGGCCACCTCATGAGAAGAGAAGACTCCCTGGAAAAGACCCTGATGTTGGGAAAGACGACAGAGGATGAGATGGTTGGATAGTGTTCTCGAAGCTACTAACATGAGTTTGACCAAACTGTGGGAGGCAGTGGAAGACAGGAGTGCCTGGTGGGCTCTGGTCCATGGGGTCACGAAGAGTCGGACACAACTAAACAAAAGGAAAAGTGGGACATTCCAGGAACAAATCAGAAACCAGAACAGCTTCTGTAAATCTGGGGCTGTCCCTGGAAAATAGGAACACTTGGAGGGTGGGAGAGTTGACTACTACCCCCTCCAAAAAAAGTAACTTTACTGGGTCCTGATTTAGGTTGTCCCTCGAAAAATTGATTAGGATGGGTTGGGGGTTGCTTCTCTGACTTGCTCCTTATTGATTTCTGTTTGCTTGCAATGCCAAGGAATGGTTGTCGCTGAACATTCCCTTGCGGACTTTTAAGCGTGAGGATTTCACAACTTTGGAAGGATTGCCGCAGGAGTAAACAAGGCTGCTACTAGAGGGCTGAGGCTCGCAGAGTGGACTCTCGGGGGAGCTCCGTGTTCTTCCTGCCCTCGCAGTTTGGTTAAGCAAATAGTTACCAAATGTGTCAGCGAGGGAATGTGATCCTTATCCCCCCCCCCAATGAGCATTGGGGACAGCTGATATTTTGGAGGCAGGTCCTGAAAGGTTGGAAATTAATGCCATTCTAGGAAAGGAGCAGTGCGAGAGAAAAGCTTGGCTTGGCTTCTCTGCCCCTTGTCATTTTGGAGTAGGCATGGAAGGAGAAATGAGGTTAGCAGACAGGGAATGACAACGGGCCCAGGAGAGAACCCTGAAGCACCCCACTAGTCACTTTTTTCCCAGGAACCACTGGATTCCTTTTGCCTGTGCCGAATTTTCCAGCCTCGATGAATGCTGCACGATTCATGCTAACTTTTCTTCTCATGCAGTTGCCTTGCAACAGCCACCTGGAGAATATTCAGCGGTGGATCCTCCTTTATTAGCCAAGCCCAGGGGGCTTATTATTCCCAGCTAAGTGTGCGCAGGATTGCAGCCTTTAAACCCACCCCCTGCCCCCAAAATCTGCTCTTAAACTTCCTTCTGAATTTGTAGTCAACCGGCATTTTGTACGAGTGGAAATTTTCCTAGCATCTAACACAGTAAAGGAAAGTGGGTTTCTATAAATATTGAGACTTGGTAATTATAACCAGACATGGTCATTAAAATTCAACAGTCAACTTCTCCTGTGGGCGAAAAAAGAACCCCTCCTCGTTCCAGCAAGGGGCATGTTATCAGTGTGATGTTTCAAGGAAGACAGATGCCATCTAATATTAAGTACACATTAATGAGCTCGGTCCCCAACATGGAAACGAAACAGATTGGCCCAGAAGCCAAAGGCATAAAACGGGAGAACAATGACTAGAAAGCGTTTATAGGAAATACTCTTAAGTCTGTGTAAGAATAATATGCATTGTTCTTATGCCAGATACCTTTGCAAAAAGCTGTGCTGTTAGATCTAAGCCAGGGATAGGGAACCTGTGTCATTTCAGATGTTGTTGACCTCCAATTCCCATCAGCCCAAGGCAGCATGGCCAATGGTCAGGAATGATGGGAGTTGTAGTCTAGCAATTTCTGGGTTTCCCATCAATTTTTCTTTCTCCCATTTTTTAATCAAACCAAGACTTCTGGGGTTGCCATATTTCAAAAAGTGAAAATCCGGACACAAAAGTTGTTAAGTTCTTTTTTTTTTTTCAAAATCTTTAAAAAGGGAAGTTTTTGAGCTATTTTTAAGGAAATTCGTTAAAAAAAAACCCACACCCAACACTTTTGACATGGGTTGCCATACGCCTGGGTTTTCCTGGACATTTTTACTGACTTTTGGAAATTCCATCTGGACTCAGCTAAGGCCATGTAGACATAACTTGCATGTTTGCCCAAGTGTTTACAAGATACGGAGTCGTAAAAGGCCTTGATGTTTCTTTCCCAGGGAGCAGATGAGCCTCCTTTCCGTAAGTTCTGGACAATATTTCCTTGTCATGCAGTGTCATATATGCCATGGCTTCATTTTTCATCAAGTTGCCTTTTTAACTGGAAAGTGGAAGAAATATCAAGCTTTTCCTCTCTGCCCATTAAGCAACTGCAGCTTTCCCTGCCACGGTACACTTTGTGAGGGCAAAAAGCAAGAGTGTTATCTCGGATCTGAGCCGATTTAAAGTAAAACCACTTGGACCTCTTGTTCTCTGATAGTGCACAAAAAGCAGGTTTCGGGGAAAAGGGATTGAATGGGATGAAATTGCCTTGGAAGGCATTAAGGTACCCCTTCAGTTTGTTGTTCTATAAAGCAGATGTTGCTAACCTGGTGCTGCCCAGATATTTCAGATTGCAACTCATGGCCTCGGTCCTATATACCTGAAGGAGCGTCTCCACCTCCATCGTTCTGCCCGGACACTGAGATCCAGCACCGAGGGCCTTCTGGCGGTTCCCTCATTGCGAGAAGTGAGGTTACAGGGAACCAGGCAGAGGGCCTTCTCGGTAGTGGCGCCTGCCCTGTGGAACACCCTGCCAGCAGATGTGAAGGAAATAAGCAGCTATCCTATCTTTAAAAGACATCTGAAAGCAGCCCTGTTCAGGGAAGTTTTTAATATTTAACACTGTATTGTTTTTAACACTTGATTGGGAGCCGCCCAGAGTGGCTGGGGAAACTCAGCCAGATGGGTGGAGTATAAATAATAAATTATTATTATTATTATTATTATTACTTCAGCCATGGCTGGCATAGCTGTGCTGACTGGGCAGCGGAGGCGATGGAAGTTGTAATCCAAACTTGTATCTGTTTTTCCTTGGCAAAAAGCAGTGGGACAATAGGAATTGTGGATAAACTGTCCCATGTGATGATAATTCAAGCAAACATTGTGAAAGCCAGGTGAACAACTTGTTTAGCAGCAAGGACAGCATGTGAAACCTTGCCAACATATATATTCTTCCAGCTATCCTAGGTTAGGAAGTTACTTTACCTGAATGTAGTGGCCTAAAGCATCTCATTTGCAACAGGGAGATCATGGTACTGGGGTGTTTTAGAGGGTTGTTGCAATTAATCATTTGAAATGTTTTTATACCGCTCTTCTGTTGAAATACCAAAAATAGAACAATAGCAATAAAATGGTCTTAGGTTCTTCTTCAGTATTATTATGAAGAAGAAACAGAGTGAAGTAGTTCTGAAAGCATCAAAAGGCAGTCTGGAATCGTCTAAAAACGGGAGATGAGTGCATCAGATTGTAGTAGCCACCAACCACCCATTAAAACCCTTGGGATGATAGAATATAAGATGAACCTATTGGATCAGATCAAAGGTCTGTTTAGTCCAGCATCCTGGTCTCACTGTCGCCAACCAGATGCCTATGCAAAACCTGCAAGGAAAACTTGAGCACAACATCACTCTCCCCACCTGCAGCTCACAGCAGCTAGTATTCAAAGGAGGACATATTCGGGAGAAGGAAAAAGCTAAGGAGTCAACCCTACACAAACTTGAAGTCCCTAAGAGGATTGGATGGTTCCTTGTACGCCTCCTTCCAGCAACTCCTGCAGCCAAGCTAGGGCTATACGTATTGCTCCGCTTTCCTTTGGACCACATCAGTGATGCTGAGAGAGAGGTCTTGTCGTCTGGGTAGCCCAGGACCTTCATACACAAATGCTCAGGCTTGCACCCCAGAGGAGTCACTTGAGTGCTGCTAATGCAACATGGGAAGCAGCAGTTGTGAGTTGCTGATCTCTGCAGCCACAGCAGGCACTGTGATTCTCCAGCCATTTGGCTTCACCCCCAGAGGCACACTCCATTGTCTCTTGAGATGGACAGATGTCAACAGCTGCCTTCAAGAGTGGAGGTAGAACGTAGCTGTCATGACTAGCAGCCAAAGGGAGCCTTATCCTCCATGACTTCGTCTGTTCCTCCTTTTAAGCCATCCAAGATGGCGGCCATCACTACTTCTCGTGGGAGAAGAATCTTAACCTGTTGTTGTTGTTGTTGTTTAGTCGTTTAGTCGTGTCCGACTCTTCGTGACCCCATGGACCAGAGCACGCCAGGCACTCCTGTCTTCCACTGCCTCCCGCAGTTTGGTCAGGCTCATGTTTGTAGCTTCGAGAACAGGTTAAGATACAAAGGCAACAGGCATATCTTAACCTGTTACCTAAATGATAAAACGTTGGTACCCTCCAA